CTCTGACTGCCTTTCTTATTCAGCTAATTCCTTCTTGGGGGGGGTGGTATTTTCAGGAACACAAGCCCAAATTCTTTATGCCTTTTCTCCCTCCAATTCTTTACAGTTATCTCAGTAAAGTCTCTCTCCTCTTAATATCATTTGTGAACTTACATAATTTTTCACTGAAAATTTAAGAGCAGTTCATATAATAACATTGAATCAAGAAAAGGTAAGCCACAAGAATGGTAGTAAACTTGAATATAACTGAAAAATCCAGCGTCATGAGTCGCTAAAACTTCCGAAAATATCTAAAAGATTTTTCTGAAAATATCTTCAGATTTTTTTCCTCAGCTTCTCATTTCCTCTAATTAAACTTTCTCTATTCATAATTGCCTTAGATAAACCATGCTAGAAGTCTTAACAGCAATATTAACCCCAATAATATTTGAAATTAAAAACATTTAATACAACCCTTTTCTTCTGGCTAATTACTATGGTAACCATATTGTTCTTCAAACATTTCATGGCCAGTATTTAGTATTTCAGCTAGTTACTGGGTAGTATCCTCTGTTTGACTAGTGTGAGACTAACCAGCATTTATATCATTATTTCTATGAGAAAACATGTTCCAAGGAGCCAACTCACCAAGAAAGTTTCAGGAAAATAAAAATTGTGAGTTGGTGACTTCCTGTGACTTATTTGAAAATGGGTAGTTTATGCAACAAATCCAAATGAAAGAATTGTCTAGGATTTTCTAGTATGATATCTTTTAAAGATTATGTACTTTTTTCAGAAATCAATCTTTGGAATTGGGTGGGAACTTATACATCTAAGAGTCTCTTAACACAGACATGAGGGAGGATAGAAATTATCTAACAGATGGAGGGAGGGAAGGGAGAGGAGGGAAAGAGGATGAAAAAAGGAATGAAGATGTGTTATGTACAGTACCAACTCCTCACAAGGAATGTAGACATTATGTACTACAAACATGGGCTAACACATAAAACAGAATCTCATACACATGCTTTAGATTTTCTAAAGTAACTTCAACATTTAAGGGAAGGGAATTGATAGGGTTAGAAGCATTCACTTTAAAATGTCCTAGCTAACTATAAAATGAACAGCTCCCACTTCAAGTTTTGTTTTTGTTTTTTTGAGACAGCATCTTGTTTTGTAGTACAAGCTGGCCTTGAACTCACTGTGTAGCCCAGGCTGGCTTTGAACTCAAGGCGATCCTCATGCCTCAGGCTCCAGAGTCCTGGAATTATAGACCTGAGCAATCATGCCCAGCCTTACTTTGAGATCTTTTGTTCCATTTTTAATCATATCTAAGATCTTTCCAAATACTACAAAACCCCATTTCTACATAGAAAAAAAGTCCTTTTTGTTTACAAAGTTTATTGAAACAAAAGTTCAGTTATTCTCAAACTGTGCACTACTATCTAAATAATGACTTTGGACATATAAGATATTAGTAAGGAATTAAATAATATGGTTCTGTGAGTACTCATTTAAAATAAAAAGAAAGAATATGCAACTAAAGACATAAAGGTCTATTTTTCAGTTCAAAATACAAAGTAAAAAGAAATAAATCCCTAGAGGGTCAAAAAAGATAAATCTTGTTGAACGGATTTGGGTTCATATTTCATTCTAACATTTTTCTGCCTTAATGTATTGTTTTTCTTCCTGAGATTTAGAAAAAACACTGCTAAAGTACTTTATGTAGAATATACTTACTTGTAGGTAGTAATAAATTAATTAATAACATTTATTCTACTTTCAGTGGTAATTAAACTCTCAAGAATATGCTCATTCACTTTAAAATTCTTTCATTAATAAAATTATCTTTCATTAATATAGCACCTAAGAGTCTAAACTGAAAACACAAATCCCTTCAGCCCATTCTGAATGGACAAGGAAATATTTACCAGGCAGCTTCACAGATGAGTAGATATCTTTAAAAAAATAACCCTGCCTTAGATTCAGTTATCTTAGGAAAGATAGTTTTAAAAATGCCATTTTCCAACTTCGACAATTATGTGAAAAAATGCCCTTAAATAGTTGCCTGGCCACACAGACTGCACTGGAAGTGTAGCCAGCCATGTGCCTGTTTGCAGATGACTCCTTTGCTCACCTTCTTAGCCTTCACATTCAGCCCAACCAAGAGCCCAACACTTAGAAAGAAACAACTCAAACGAGCCACTGCCAAAAAATACATACTGCAGAAAGCAACCAATCGATGCCCTTAAAATATACAGATTTTTAATAAAAAGAGTTGAAATAGAACCATGGAGACACAAGTACTGATCCCCTGCATAAGATCCCTGCAGAATTATTAAGATGCCTTTCATGATGTGGGGAGGCAGGAGCACTCTTCCACGTGGACCAGAATTGCCAACTGGCTTTGGCTGAGTGGAGCCCACATCCTGTTCCACAGAAAAAATACACAGTTAAACTCTGAGCCACTCTTCTGAATATTTGTTTCCTCTTCTACACCAAGTAGAGAAGAGGCTTTGAAAAGTTGCCATGGCCTTGCTTTCCTGAGCAGCAGACAGAAACACTTCAGCAATGTGGAAATGCGCGCGCGCACACACACACACACACGCACACGTTCTCTCCTTCTCTAGAAAGATGTTTGTGTGGATGATTATACGCACATGTGACTGTGTATGTGTGAGACAGCTGTACAAATTGGGATAGGACACTGACATTTGGAGGCTCATGGTGCTTGGGCAGAGGACTACCACGATGGCATCTTAGGGTGTCTGGTAGGGGCTCCCATCCTTCCAAGGTTACTATGGCTGACACTAGAGCCCGGTTTTCTCTCCAGGTGAACCAAGTCGAGTTAATAACTGCCACACTAGATCTTCAAAAGAAGAGCGATTCAGAGGTGAAATCCTGGGATGCAATATCAGACACAGGAGCATACATCACCCCAAAGATGACAACTGAGCGGAAATCCATTGACAGCCACACTGACCACTGGGTAAAGACCCTACCTGCTTCCCCAAGGTCACCAAGCCATTAAGATAACAAGGCTCAAAAAGCATTTAAGTAGGAACTGTGAGTAGAAAAACATTATTGGGTGCACTTAAATTTTTAAACCAGTGAAAACACCTGTCCAGTGTCTCCTGGAGGGTCCCGGAGAGGCCGACTGTATCCTCAGTGTCACCTTCAGTTCCCACCAGTGCTAAGACAGCATCCTTCAGTAGATAAATTTGGCAACCCTGGCAATAGTGCTATGCTAATTCAGTGCCAGCACAAGTCTTTGTTACAGTTCTCATTTCAGGTTAGGCAGCTTAGATAAGCTCATCACAGGGCTTTAAGCTGGTGCTCAGGGGTGGCACAATGGACCATATTACCGGGAGAATCATTCATGAGCATCAATAAATGCTGCTATCTTCTCAAAGCAAGAAGTAACATGACAGATCTTCTCATTTCCTGTGAGATCAGAATCTAGTCAGACTGTGGACAGATGCATTTGTAAGAAAGGTTGCATGAAATTTAGCTGGGAAAATATAGCATTTTTATAGATAAGATTTTTTTTTCTGAAGAGGATAATCTACATTTACTTAATTGATAAATCCATAAATGATCATCTGTTTGTCTTGTCTTGCTATTCAAAGATTAAATTCATTTTGAATTAATGAGAAATTATTGAATCTTGGAGCATTAGCAATCTCAGTTTATTTAGGCCCAAATATAAAGAACTAGCTTGAGATGCCTTTGCAGACAAGACCAGGTTCCATAGCAAAATGATGTCCAACCTTGCTTTGAAGGCTATTTCCCAAAATCTATGGGCTTTGGCTCCAGAATGCTTCACTTCCTCAAATCACATTAACAACATCTGACACAGTGACAGAAAGAGCCAAAAAAGGAAGTCAGTTTTGACAGGTAAGTATGGGTGACATGGCTGGGTTTGAAACCACCCTGCCCTCGGTCCATTTTGGTAAATTTCTGAGGAACGTTTGCAATCGGCAGGACAGACCTTGGCTTAAGAGGTGGCCTCTGCCATTTTCATGGCTGATTTGAGACCTATTATGCACTTGATTCTGCATTGTAAAATCCAGGCTGGGGACAAATTTCTGCCTGTCATCTCGGAAAAGGCCAGGAGTTTTGCACCACCCTGTAGTGTGAAAACAGAACATCAAAGCCAGCACAGAGCTGCCTGCTTCTTTTCTGATCAGCTTGCTGCTTTTTTGAGGCAATCTTGGCTGTCACCATCTCCGGCTGGGAATGGTAATTTAGTAGAATAATGTATGGTTTAAACAGCGTCTCTCCAGGGAAAGTTCCTCTTACACTTAATACTGAGTGCACAAAGATAACCAGCAAGTAATCATGTGATGCTTGGCTACCACTGCATGGAGAAAACATTTCAGAACCGCGCGTGCACACACACACACACACACACACACACACACACACACTTCTTCTTCTAATGTGAGAAGATCCCGATTCAGAAGCCCAAAGGCCCGGATATTTCCCTTCTATTCTCGTTCTATGGCAATGACATCCCTGTGAAATACAGTTTATGGCCCAAATGTGCTGCACCCTTGGCTCCAGTAATAGGACACAAATTGCAGAGATTAAAATATCTTAGAAGAATTTTTTAAATGTTTAAACAGTTGGCTGAAAAGGACAGCACGATAACTCTTGTCAATGACTTCCCCTGTCTCATGTCAATTTCAGAAAACAAGTTTCCATTGTAAATGTTTAATCAGTGCAGTTCCAGGAACCCAGCATAGACAACCTTATCTTCTCTCCCAACTTATTTGCTCCGCAAGCTCTTTTCCAGCTCTGCTTAGCTTCTGCCAACAATTCGGGCTTTGCTCACTCAAAGGAGCAGAGCTTTCGGTGGCTCTGAGCTGGCCTCAAGCCCCGGGGTTCGATTCCACTGGTCGAGCCCTAGTCTGCTGAAGCAAGCTGCAGCATTTCGCCGGCAAAACCCGGCCACCAGCTTCTAGAACAGCCGAGCACCAGGGCCGGCTGCTGCCCAGACCCCGCCTGCAGCACCCTACCTTCCATCATGGTGGCGGAATCGCATTCCTTAGTTTCCGAGGAGTCTGAAGCAGTGCAGGAGGGCAGGCTTCCAGGTCCTGGCGGGCTGCGGGCCACGCCGCCGCCGAGGTGGGCTCTGGGCTGCGGAGGCCGGAGGAGGCAGGGTCACCCCGGGAGCAGGGCCATGGATGCTGCTGCACCTCGGGGCTGGGAGATGCTAGGAGGGAGGCGGAGGCAGGGGCGGGGCAGAGCCGCCCGCGGCACCGCCAATCCCCTCCCGCGGGCCCGCGTCACATGGCAGGGCCGCGTCCCCGCTCTGCGCCGCCGGCTGTGCCCACCTGCGCGCAGGCTCCCAGGGACGCGGCCACCTGCAGGGCCCGGCCGGCCGCGCAGAAGTGGCCGCCGCGAGATTTTTTTTCTTTTTTTAAGAAAAACTTCTTAACAATCCCATGCAGCCCAGAGTCTCGGCAGCACACATGTATGCTCCCCTTCCCATCTGCTTTGCCCCAGATTCCTAATTCCCAAATGTCAGTCGGTGGCCTCTGCACATCTGTGCGCTCTCTCTCTCTCTCTCCCCTCTCCCCTCTCCCCTCTCTCCCCTCTCCCCCCCGCCGCCCCGCTCTCCTTCAACACAGAAAAATCAATCCGCCGACGACGTCACATCATCAACAATTATCCCCAAAAGGATGATGCAGAAAAAAAAATTCACCCCAGCTGCCTTCCAGGGAGCCAGGGAATTAATTGCGCATGCCATGCCCAAGGGCTGGGAACTGTCATTAAAACAAAGAAACAAAAGAACCCACGGAGCGGGGCTCAGAAGCATTTCTGGGGCGGGAGGCGGGAGGAGCCCGGAAGGCGACTGCAGCGCGGAGCGAGGAGACCTGGACCCGGGTCCTCCCGCCGCAGCAGCCGCGGTCCCTGCAGGAAGCCCACTGTCCCGGTCTGGGGACGCTTCCGGCCTTGGACCCCATCCTTGCGCCCCCGGGAAATCGGAGGGAGCCTGGTGCCTGGGTGGCAGGGCCCAGGGTCCCCCGCTTCCAGGGGTCACAGCTGGGTGCCAGTCGCCACGGGGTCAGGCACCTGGCTGCTGGGGTTGAGAGTCACCTGACGGCTCCCGGGGACCGGGCCTTCCAGAAGGCGCCAGGCCCCGGGGCCACTGACTGGGCTGGGGCGGGAAGGAGGGAGTGGAAGAGGAAGGCAGCTGAGAGGCTGGGAGGCCTCTGGAGCCCAGGAGAGAGCGGGGCCCACCAGCTCTCCTCCCTCCCGTCTCCTTTACAGAGAAATTGTGAGCAGGGAAGGAAACTGCTTCAAAACACCTTTAAAGAGATGCCTTACGTGATCAGGCTTGAGGTGCCAACACTCACTGGTCCTTTGTATTATAATATAAAGTGTGATTGAAAAATGTGAATGTTCAAATGTTTAAAAAGTGCAGTACAGTAGAAGGCACCTGGCCACTGATCCCCCTCGGAAGGTTCCCCTTTGCTTTGAGCACACTCATCCCATTGTTCTGGCCATTTCCTGCAGCAGCTCTGGAGTCCTCTCTCCCGAGTGTCTTTAGTTGTGCTGTCCTGGCTGCCTTGATGTCCTTAATAGAGTCAAAATGTTTCCCCTTCATGGTCATCCTGACTTTGGGAAAGAGCCAGGAATGACGTGGTGCCGGATCTGCTGAATAAGGTGGATGAAGACATAGCATCGTGTTTTTAATTGACAGAAATTGCCATAAATGGTTGATCAATGAGTGATCAAAAATACTTAATATGGTAGAAAGCCCATTACCATGAGTCCTCCTCAAAATACTTCCCCTCACTTCAAACACAATTATCCCACCATTCTTGGTACTGTGTCTTTTACTGTCATAAGTTTTAAAAAATTTTAAATATTGATCATATATGTAGATAACCTCTTGAATACTCACAAACTTTTAATATTTCTCAGCCCCTGATGCAGCCTGGCTCTTTCTACCAGAGCTAATATGATCTGTTGCTGACCAAGAAATACTAAAGAAAATATAGCTAAATAGTATATGTGCTGCCAAAGTGAGCATAAAATACAACTAAATAGGCAGAATAAAGCAGCACATTATAGTCAAAAACAAAACTCAGCTCCTTAGCAACTAGATGTATTAAAAACCCATTGTTCTCCCTAAGGACACATATTTTGGTGGGCTCCTTCAGAATGAAAATCTCTAGAGAAAATACAAATATTTATGACTTTTCCTTTGTATCTTCAAGGCGGCTGAATTTTAAAGGGCAATGAATTCCAAAGTAAAGCCTACCGTAAGCACAACTTGCACTGTTCTCAATGCCAGAGACCATTTATTGCAAAAGGGATGGATTAGTGTGCATGCAGTTAGCAAGTTAGTTTTGTAATGGTTAAGAATGTGGATAAATATTGGTGTCGAACAGAATGGGATTGAGTTGTGACTCTGCCTCTTACTGAGGTCCATGACCTTGGGCAAGTAATGTAACTTCCAGTGCTTCGGTTTCCTTACCTGTAAAGTGGAGATAATCATAATAATACCACGCTCCTATCCCCAGTTTACAGGACTATAAATAGTAGATGTAACAATAGTAGTAAACAGTAGTAGAAACAAACATCAGTGGCCTACAATGTGCCAGTTACTCTGCTGGTGAGTTACACAGCATCTTGTCTGGAGCATTCATTGAAAGCTCTCCGTGTTAGTGTTTCAGGGTTGTATTATGACCACAGAAGGGCTGGAGATGCAGCGAAGATGTTCTCAGCCAACTGGAAATTGTAGCACATAGGTGGACGGCAAGGCCTGTGGCATGTCCAGAGGGGCTGCGTGCTGAGGAGTTCTGCTCAGTGGAAGAGTGATATGATGGTTTGATTTAGAATGTTTCCCCAAAGGCTAATGTGTTCAGAGGTGGAGCTTTTGGAAGGTGATTGGATCCCGGGCCCTGTGTAATCACTGGATTCTTCCATGGATGAGTTCATGCCTGAATGTGGTTTAGGAGGTTGGGCCTGGCTGGAGGAAGAAGGTGGATCACTGGAGGCATAACCTGGAAGCCTGTGTTCCTGTCCAAGCCCTCCCTGCACCTCCCTGTCTCTCTCTGTCTCTCTGTCTCTGTCTCTCCACCACACCATTCTGGCCATGATGCTCTGCCTCACCACAGGCCCAGAAACAATGAAACCAAACAACCATGGACTGAAACATCTTCATTTGTTTTATAGGGGTTTTTTTTGGGGGGTGGGGGCTAGTTTTGCTCAAGAACACAGTATTTTAGATTGTGATCAAGTTGTATCACTTCATGGTACAGTTTCAGCCTTTCAATAAGTACAAAGGAGAATTTCTAGCTGCTAAAATAATGGAATACTTTTTTGCAAACTTGAAATGGAAGTCAAAGGATCTTGGAGAAGATTGGCAAATTACTGCCTGCGTCTGAGTGCAGTGACTGCCCTCGAGTTAGTCTGGGATAGGGACAGTATGTCCTGAACACACCGAGCTCTCACACACTGCCTGTGACTCATACAAGGCCCCAACTTCACTGACGAAGTCACTGGACATTGATCCATTTTTCTGAAATAATTCTTGTAAAGTAGTGGTGCTCCGTTACCTGTGCTTTAGAACATAATCTTATGATATTATTATTGTGAACATTGAATTTCTTTACTATTTCCCAAGTTTAATGTTTTGGAGGATAATCTGTAGATATTTTAGAATCAGAAAGAAGATAATAAAAAGAACTGAATATAAGGAGGAAAGAAAACTGACATAAGGGGAAAGTTCAAGGTCTGAGCACTACACTTGACTCTTGTCTGCCTTTTGCAATGAGGTAATTCAATAAGTGCAGATGGGAAAATGTTGTCCAAGTCCTAGAAGAGTTGGATTTCCATGAGATGATATAGGTCTATATATCTCTCCATACTCATTATTCTTATTTAAAATGGAGGAACTCCAACTTGCACTAACATGGGCAAAGGGGGATTTATGGGGGCAGCTTATAGAGGGTATGAAGCCCTAATAAGATAGGAAGGCTAGACAAGATATTGTCAAGGCAAGAAAGGATGCTGTTACCAGAACAAGTGTGGGGAGAGAAACAAAAGCTACCTGCCACTCGGTGGACCTAAGATAAAGCTTGCCAAAAGATCATGAGGAAGCAGAGTCATTCAGAGGACACAGACTTGAGAGCTATTGTCCATTACTGTATATGCTGCTCGCTGGAAGAGCCACGTACCCATACCCGTGTGGATGTGAAGAGTTTGGTACCAGTTTTGGTGGTGCTCAGTCCAGACCTACATTGAAAACGGTAGAATTATATTTTAAATCTAGTTTTCAGTTTTGATATTATTTCAGGAATACTGAGATTAAGAGAGGGTGAAAGTAGGAAAGACATTTTTTTGTACTGGGGATTGAACTCAGCGACTTGTACTTGTGAGGTCAGTGGCAGCACCACTGAGCTAAATCCCCGGGCCAGAAAGACATTCTTATTAAGCACTGCTAAGTGCTATCGTTACTGTCAGCCATGGAGGGGATGCTCAGTTGACTCTTGACAGAACAGGGACCACAGGGGTGAAGCACAGGCGTACAGGCACAATGGATGCTGCCCACACACTGTGCAGCGCTTTCTTTCTAAGAGAATCAGTTTACTCAGGTGCAACTTTAACAGTCCAAGAAATTAGACAAAGGGAAGAAACTCCAAAATGTACTTGATAAATTACAAAACATGACAAAAACAATAAAAATCAACTATAGCTCAATCTTATGAACATTGATGCCAAAAATGTAAAATAAAATAATGGTGAACATAATCCAGTTTTTAAACAATATGACATACTGTATATGTTATACATGTACATATACATATACATATATATCACACTATCTTAGACTTTATTCTAGGAATAAGGAAAAATAATTTGACATTAAGAATTACTACTAATATAATTTACAGTATTAACCTACCAACAGCTATATCATTATTTCCATAGTTGTTAAAAATATATTTGATAAATTTCCACTTATGTCACAAACAGAAATCATACAAAAATGATATTTTAAAACTTCTTTAGGAAAACAAAACATATAGCTGTCTAACCTCAATCTATAACTTGTTAAATGGGGACACAATGAACAACTTATTCTAAGGAATAAAACTCAAGAATGCAACTGAAGTGTCCTTTATCATTACTGTTATTTAATATTTAATACTGTCCTGGTGGATGGCAGCCCAAATTCAGGAAGATAAAGAAATGAAGCTGTGTCAGAAACAGTGACATACACTGCTCACCAC